GGGCGAGAAAGAGGACCGGGTTTGCGAAGCCGGTACGATGGGTCTTACCTGGAAAGGGGTTGGATTTGCATGCAAATTAGAGATTTAGAATAGAAGAGAGCTGGAAGGGACCTTGGAGGTCTTCTAGTCCAGCCCCCTGCTCAAGCAGGAGACCCTATACCATTTCAGACAAATGGCTGTCCAGTCTCTTCTTAAAAACCTCCAGTGATGGAGCACCCGCCAACTTCTGGAGGCAAGCCATTGCCCTGATTGTAATAGAATCATAGATTCAGTGGTGGAAGGGACCTTAGAGGTCTTCTAGTCCAGCCCCCTGCTCAAGCAGAACCTGTATCGTTCCAGACAAATATGTAATCTAATCAGAACAGAACTGGAAGGGACCTTGGAGGTCTTCTATTCCAGCCCCCTGCTCAAGCAGAAGATCCTATACCATTTCGGGCAGGTGCCTGTCCAGTCTCTTCTTAAAACTCTCCAGCGATGGAGCAATTCGCAACTTCTGGTGGCAAGCAGTTCCCCTGGTTAATTGTCCTCACTGTTAGGAAGTTTCTCCTTCATTCCAGGTTGCTTCTCTCTTTGGTCCGTTTCCCAAGAATTTTAAGAGACTAAGAATGAAGGTTTCTCTGCTGGGCTTTGCCACGTTGAATAACCTCGCTGAACATCATGGTCCATTATGGCAGGATTGTCCAAACGTGTCCCTTTTAAGAGATGCGGACTTCAACTCCCAGAATTCCAGCTGAGAGAGCGGAAGTCCACATGCCTGGCTGAGGAATTCTGGGAGTTGTGAAGTCCACATGTTTTAAAGCGACCAAGGTGAAGACAATCTGCCTTCGGACTTCTGTGGCTGTTCACAGAGAAAGCTAGTCCAGGGGTCTTCCAACTTGGCCCTTTGATGACTGGTGGACTTCAACTCCCAGAATTCCTCAGCCAGCATGCCTGGCTGAGGAATTCTGGGAGTTGAAGTCCACCAGCCATCAAAGGGCCAAGTTGGAAGACCCCTGCTTGTGGACTTCAACTCCCAGAATTCCTCAGCCAAGGAGAAACTTCCTGACAGTTAGAACAATTAACCAGTGGAACCACCTGCCTCCAGAAGCGGCGAATGCTCCAACACTGGAAGTTTTGAAGAAGAGATTGGACAGCCATTTGTCTGAAATGGTACAGGGTTACCTGCCTGAGCAGGGGGTTGGACTTGATGACCTCCAAGGTCCCTTCCTACTTTATTATTATTATTATTATTATTATTATTATTATTACTACTACTACTATTATTATTATTATTATTATTATTATTATTATTATTAAGTCACCAAAGGGCCAAGTTGGAAGACCCCTGCTTGTGGACTTCAACTCCCAGAATTCCTCAGCCAAGGAGAAACTTCCTGACAGTTAGAACAATTAACCAGTGGAACCACCTGCCTCCAGAAGTGGTGAATGCTCCAACACTGGAAGCTTTTAAGAAGAGACTGGACAGCCATTTGTCCAAAATGGTATAGGGTTTCCTGCCTGAGCAGGGGGTTGGACTAGATGACCTCCAAGGTCCCTTCCTACTTTATTATTATTATTATTATTATTATTATTATTATTATTATTATTATTATTAAGTTACTAAAGGGCCAAGTTGGAAGACCCCTGCTTGTGGACTTCAACTCCCAGAATTCCTCAGCCAGGCATGCTGGCTGAGGAATTCTGGGAGTTGAAGTCCACAAGTCATCAAAGGGTCCTAGTTCCCTCACGCTGCCTGAGGAATTCTGGGAGTTGAAGTCCACAAGTCACCAAAGGGCCACGTTGGAAGACCCCTGGACTAGTCAAATGCAGGAATCCACGAGATGTAACCGAGCGGCACCTTTTGACAGTTCAAAGGGGCAACTGTGAGATTATTGCAACCTCCGAGGTGAAAATTGGGAGATTTGTCAACTGCATGCCAAGGGGACGGGGCGTTGCTCTTGTGAGAAACGCCCACCCTCTCCTCCATTCGGACCAGCAGATGCCCACCCCATGGCTGCCCTCCGCAGAGACCGAGGGAAGAGGGGCAGGTGCTACTCTAGAGTGTAAACTTCACAGCCAGCGCAAGGCGTTGGGATTCAAAGCCATCGAGAAGTGCAAAAAAAGGGGGGGGGGACGCCAGGCGTCCCCGAACAAAGCATTGGGGTAGGGAGGGGGGAAGGCAGGAGTTGTTCTTCCTCTTTCCCCACTGCCCCACCTGACCCTTGACCCCGAGGGGCACTTTTTATTATTGCTTTTAAAAGAGATGGCTCATTCCTTGAAAATGGGTCGGGACGGGTGAAAAGGGGGCAGGAAGGAAGGAAGGGAGGGAGGAGAAATAGACAAGAGGACGGAAGGAAAAGGAGAATATTTGCAGACCAGGGTTGAAATGAGGGGGTCTTTGGTGCCCTCTGAGCTGGTTTGTTTTCTTGCAGACCGTTTCGTGGCCAAACTAGATAACATCATCAGCGGTAGAAGGGAGAGAGGTTTGCAGGGTGGAGGAAGAAGAGGGAGAGGAAAGGGAGGAGGAGGAGGAGGAGGAGGAGGAGGAGGAGAATGGGGTCCTTATTACTCTCTGAGCTGGGGGGTTTTCTTGCAGACGTTTCATGGCCCAACTAGATAACATCATCAGTGCTAGTCCTGATACACTGATGATGTTACCTAGTTTGGGTAATGAAACGTCTGCAAGAAAACCACCCAGCTCAGAGAGCACCAAGAACAGAAAACGGGAAGGAAGGAAGGAAGGAAGGAAGGAAGGAAGGAAGGGATGGAGGAAAGAGGGAGGGAGGGAGAGTGGGAAGGAAAGAAAGAAAGGGAAAAAGAAAAAGAGATAGGAAGAAAGAAAGAGTGGGAGGGAGGGAGGAAAAAGGGAGGGAGGGAAGGAAAGAGGGAAGGAAGGAAGAAGGGATGGAGGAAAGAGGGAGGGAAGGAAGAAAGGAAAGAAAGAAAGGGAGGAAAAAGGGAGGGAGGAAGGAGAAAGGGAGGGAGGAAAGGGAGGGAAGGGAAGGAAGGAAGGAGGGGAGAAAGGGATGGATGAAAGAGGGAGGGAAGAAAGAAAGGAAAGAAAGAGAAAGGGAAGGAGGAAGGGAGGGAGGGAGGAAGGAGTGAAGGAAGGAAGGAAGGATTAAGGGATGGAGGAAAGAGGGAGGAAGGAAGGAGAAAGGAAGGAAGGAAGGAAGGAAGGAAGACTGAGGAGCTGAGAACCAGAGCTGGTTCCCCCCCCCATTTTGAGTCCTGACCCCTAGGAGCCTCTGGGGAGGCATCCCAGGAAAAAGGGAGAATAGATTCTCTTCCCTCTCAACCAATCACTGCTGCAGGGAGCAATTTTGGCTTTCCTGTGGGGGGGGGGGAGACGCGCGGCAGAGGGAATAAGAACCCCTCCGTCAGGACCAGCTCTAGAGCGGCGGTTTTTCCAAACCCGGCCACTTTCCTAGAGGTGAACCAGAAGAGGGTGACATCCCTCACGTCCCGGACTCCCGTTTTCCCGGCCACCACACCAGACGTAAGTTGCCCGTTTCCTTTGGGACGGCTTTCCCCTTCCCTTATCTAGTCACCAGCACTCCTGGTGGTCTCCCATCCCAACCTTTACCAGGCTGGACCCTGCTTCCGCTTCTGCCATCGGCCGCAGCCAGCCAGTCAGCAAGCCGGGACCGACCCAGACGGGCGATCCAGGCAGGTCCAGTTGCTTCTTGAGAAATCGAGGGGAGGGGACGGGGGGTGGGTCAAAAAAGGCAAGATGGCGGCCACCATCCTACGACCTCAGGGCCGCCCCTTCTTTCGTGCACATCCTCACACACACACGCGCGAGGATTTCCGTGACAAGATCGCAGCCAGCATCTTGACCTGGCAGGTGTCACAGTAAGTCTTAATAATAATAATAATAATAATAATAATAATAATAATAATAATAATAATAATAATAATAAAATAATAATAATAATAATAATAATAATAATAATAATAATAATAATAATAATAATGATAAAAGTTGGAAGGGACCTTGGAGGTCATCTAGTCCAACCCCCTGCTCAGGCAGGAAACCCTGTACCATTTTGGACAAATGGCTGTCTTGCTCCCCCCCCTTTTTTGGGGGGGGGGGAACAATTTAAGAACGAAAAAGGATCTGCTGGAGAAATTATTTTTTGGGGAGCGACTGAAGGAAGAACCGGGAAGAACCGAAAGGACAAAGGCAAACTCGGAAGAATTACACTGGAGTGTGTGTCTGTGTGTGTGTGCGTGTGTGTGTGTTTCTTCCACTGGTGTGTGCTGTTTTCCCACTTGGCTCCCGATTTAGGCCAGCGTGGATTCTGACGATAATGCTGGTGTGAATCCCGGAAAACGTGGGACCGTATTGCGATTGTGCTTCCTTTCTTGACCTGAAATTCCCGAACCTGGCTGCCTTTCAGACGTGCATTGAGCCGACAACCTCTGGGAACACACACACACCCCGTCTCCCCCCACACACACAGCATGTCCAGAAAGGAAACACGGATTGGGGAAAACGTCTCGCCACGTGGGAAAAGCAATCCAGGGAGACACGGGGTGCAGGGGACCCCCCCACAAGGGTTAAATCGAGGTTATCTTACACCCAAACAAACTGAGGTACTCTTAGACCGAGATTGTGCTTATTTCTCTAGGTTGCCCCCCCCCAGACACACACACACACACTTCCAACAACTGCCTGTCCCTCTGGAGAGAGCCAGTCCCCCCCCCATCATACGGAAAAGGGGTGCAGCGGCCCGGCTAGGCCCAAGGCAGCGGGCTTCCCCCGCCAAGCGCGATTGCTCATGCCGTAGATTTGAACTCAAGACTCGAGCAGCTGCCACGGGGCAGGGCGAAGCCTTCCGCGTCCAACCTGCCTTGGAAGAATATGGATATTTGGTTCATGCGCAAAAGCGGCGGATCCTCTCGGCCCACCCCCGCCCTGCAGAAGGCAGCAGCTGGTGGGAGGCGGGCGGGGCGGGGTGGGATGGGGTGGAAACGGGGGTCCTCGGAAGAGCAGGTGGGGCCGGGCCGGGCCGGCCCTACGCCCGGGACTCCTTCTTGGCGTTGGGCTTGTTCCCCAGGACCGCGTCTATTTCCTGGATGACTTGAGGGGTCAGCTGGGTTAGGACCTGTAGGGGGAGAAAGCGCGAAGAAGGGGGAAAAAAAACATTGCTGAATGAGGGGGTTGGACTAGATGACCTCCAAGGTCCCTTCCAACTTTATTATTATTATTATGGATCATCGCACAGTCAGCCAGATGTTCAGATTTATTATTATTATTATTATGGATCATCGCACAGTCAGCCAGATGTTCAGATTTTTTTTATTATTATTATTATTATTATTATTATTATTATTATTGTTATTATTGTTATTATTATTATTATTATTATTATTATTATCATTATCATTATCATCATCATCATTATTATTATTATCATTATCATTATTATCATTATTATTATTATCATCATCATCGATTTTCTCTAAGGGGTCTGGGGAGAGGTTGGGGGGGGGGAATCCAGGGATGGCTGGAGGTTTGTGCGTGTTCAGCCTATTTACCTGTTTTCGTTCAAATCACCTTGCGTGGTGGGAAAAAATTCAGGTGGATCTAAGATAGGGGTCTGAGGAATTCTGGGCGTTGAAGTCTTCAAACTGGGACTTTTTAGGACGTGGACTTCAACGCCCACAATTCCTCAGCCAGGCGTCCACATGTCATAAAGGGGTCTTAGTTCCTTCACGCTGGCTGAGGAATTCTGGGAGTTGAAGTCCGCAAGTCATCAAAGGGCCAAGTTGGAAGACCCCTGCTTGTGGACTTCAACTCCCAGAATTCCTCAGCCAGGCACGCTGGCTGAGGAATTCTGGGAATTGAAGTCCACCAGTCATAAAGGGGTCATAGTTCCCTCACGCTGGCTGAGGAATTCTGGGAGTTGAAGTCCACCAGTCACCAAAGGGCCAAGTTTGAAGGCCCCTGATCTAGAACATGGAGAGCAAGGGGAGGGTCTTCCCCCACCACCTTTATGGAGTTAAACGCAGCCCCCCCTCCCCTGCCGAGCGATCGATCACCAGATCTCTGGCGTCCTCCTCCTCCTCCTCACCTGAATTGATCCCAGGTTCTCAATCAGCTGCTCGGCACTGGAGACCCCCAGGAGCACGGAGCTGACCCCTTCCGAGCGGAGACACCAGGCTTTGGGGAGAGAGGAATCCCCGAAATAGGTCAGTTGAGCATCTTCTCCCCACCTTTCTAAAATTGGTGTTTGTGTGTGGGTGTGGGTGTGAGTGTGATCGTTCCCTCTCATCTCCGGTGCATTCAGAGACACTGTTGTGCAGGCCCCTCCTTGCTGTGAACCTGCTCCAGGGGGGCTGCACTGATTTCTCAACCCAAGAGGGTCCCAGCTAAAGCATCCGGCACCCCAAAAAAAGGTTTGTGACGGAACCACATCGGTTCACGCCTTCATCTGTCTGATACGTTCTTTGGAATCGCCCTCCTTGCCTCTTTTCCAGTCCCCCCCCCCCGTCTCAACCAGAGCTGTGGCTTTTCCTGGTGGCCTCCCATTCAAATGCCCAAGCCTTGCTTAACCGACTAACGGAATAACAAGAGTTGGAAGGGACCTTGGAGGTCCTCTAGTCCACCCCCACCTCCCACCACCCCGTTCAAGCGGGAGACCTTATATATATATAGCATTTCAGTTAAATGGTTATCCAGTCTCTTCTTAAAAACCTCCAGTGATGGAGCACCCACAACTTCTGGTGGCAAGTTGTTCCACTGGTTAAATGCCCTCCTTGTCAGGAAATTTCTCCTTAGCTTTTCAAGAACAAAATCCTTAAGGGACTCCTGGGAGTTTCTATTTTCTATTTATTTTCTATTTTTCTATCCTATCCTATCCTATCTTATCCTATCCTATCCTATCCTATCCTATCCTATCCTGTAATTCTATTCTATTCTATTTTCCATTCTATATTCCATTCTATATTCCAGTGATGGCAAACCTTTTAGAGACCGAGTGCCCAAACTGCAACCCAAAACCTACTTTTTTATTGCAAAGTGCCAGGGCTGAATCAGCGTTGGTGCCCTCAGGTGGGGCGGGGGTGGGGGTGGCCCACTGGGTGGGCGTGGCTGCAGTAGTCATGGCAGACTGGGGGAGCGTGGCCGGGGCCAGTCTCTCACCATCACCGGGGCATCCCCGCGGGGCCAACACTGCTTGCTTGCTCACTTCCTGCCCTGTCGCTTCCAAACATCACGTGCCCGCAACTTTGGCGAACTCTGCTGGGGCAACGGCGCGCGTGCCCACAGAGAGGGCTCTGAGTGCCGCCTCTGGCACCCATGCCATAGGTTCACCACCACTGCTATATTCCATTCTATATTCCATTCCATTCTATATTCTATTCTATTCCATTCTATTCCATTCTATTCCATTCCATTCCATTCCATTCCATGTTCCATTCTATTCTATATTACATTCTATTTCTTATTCTATTCTATTCTATTCTATTCTATTCCATTCCATTCCATTCCATTCCATTCCATTCTATTCTATTCTATTCTATTCTATTCTATTCTATTCCATTCCATTCCATGTTCCATTCTATTCTATATTACATTCTATTTCTTATTCTATTCTATTCTATATTACATTCTATTTCTTATTCTATTCTATTCTATTCCATTCCATTCCATTCCATTCTATTCTATTCTATTCTATTCCATTCCATTCCATTCCGTTCCATGTTCCATTCTATTCTATATTACATTCTATTTCTTATTCTATTCTATTCTATATTACATTCTATTTCTTATTCTATTCTATTCTATTCCATTCCATTCCATTCCATTCCATTCCATTCCATTCCATTCTATTCTATTCTATTCTATTCTATTCCATTCCATTCCATTCCGTTCCATGTTCCATTCTATTCTATATTACATTCTATTTCTTATTCTATTCTATTCTATATTACATTCTATTTCTTATTCTATTCTATTCTATATTACATTCTATTTCTTATTCTATTCTATTCTATTCTATTCTATTCTATTTCATTCCATTCCATATTCCATTCTATTCTATATTACATTCTATTTCTTATTCTATTCTATTCTATTCTATTCTATTCTATTCTATTCTATTCTATTCTATTCTATTCTATTATTTCATTCCATTCCATTCCATTCCATATTACATTCTATTCTATATTACATTCTATTTCTTATTCTATTCTATTCTATATTACATTCTATTTCTTATTCTATTCTATTCTATTCTATTCTACTCTACTCTACTCTATTCCATTCCACTCCACTCCACTCCACTCCACTCTACTCTACTCTACTCTACTCCACTTCTATCCTATCCTATCCTATCCTATCCTATCCTATCCTATCCTATCCTATCCTATCCTATCCTATCCTATCCTATCCTAAGAGGCTGAGACTGTGCCTGGTTTCCCCATAGATGGGAGCTATACAAAGAAGGCCTTATCTGGATCCCCTAGCGGAGAGGGACGACTGCCTGCCTTGGGGCCTTGTTACAAAAGACACACACACACACACCCGTCCTCCAGCGTCCTCACCAATGGCCAGCTGCGCCACCGTGCAGCCCAGGCGTTCAGCGATGGGCTGGAGCGCTTTCACCTTGCTTTGCTGCTTCTTCCCGTCTTCGCTCTGCACCTTCTCCTTCAGCCAGTGGTAGCCCTGAAAGAGGAGGAGAAGGCCAGACCGTCTCGGAGGGTCCAGCAAGCCGCGAACCTCCGCCCAACCAGCTGGCTGAGGAATTCTGGGAGTTGAAGTCCACACGTCTTAAAAGTTGCCAAATTTGGAGACCCCTGATATAGACGGTGATAGTTTATAAAAATTATTAAGTGCAAATGGAAACATATGCCTTGTTTCCACAGCAAGGAAGCTAAAGCAGAAATGGTTCAACGGTCTGTTTGATTCAAAGAGGAGAATATACTTTATTATTATTTTTTAAAATTTGCACGCCACTTCTGGATTTTGTGCTTGGGAAGGAGGAAACGGTCGGTGACCTCTGTGCTAGCGTGTAAAAGCGAAAAGTGGAAGCCGTATTGTGCTTATCTTGCGCTGCGCTTCAAAAGAGTCGGAAAAGCCAACGGTTTTCTCTTTCCCCCCCTTGTCCCTCGTATTTTCCTTCCCTTAATTTTTATTTATTTTCCTTTGTGTTTTACTCTTAGATAAAACGATAGCGGAAGAGATCCAGGAGACTCTGGGAACTCTCCACGCCTACAGAAGGAAGACCAACCTTCGATCCCAGAAATTCCTAGCCAGGCGTTCCTGGGCCCGGAAGCCCACCAAGCTGGGGAGGACTTGAAAAGCCCACCTGGAAGTGAGTTGGGTTACCTTTTATGCAGTCAAGAACGGTTGGGATCCTACCTTCATGGAAGCCCGGCAGTTTTCTGGCACTCGCTCCTCATATTTCCCCGTGATGAGTCCACAGGCCAGCGGAGACCAAGTTATGGCGCCTACTCCTGAAGACGGTAAATGGGGCAGTTGGGGTCAGGAGCGACAACAGGCCTTCCTCCTCCTCCTCCTCCCACTGAATAATAATAATAATAAAGTTGGAAGGGACCTTGGAGGTCATCTAGTCGAGCCCCCCTGCTCAGGCAGGGATAGATATCTTCAGGGGAGGCGGTCAAGCTATTCTCCAAAGCGCCTGAAGGCAGGACAAGAAGCAACGGGTGGGAACTCATCAAGGAGAGAAACAACCTGGAACTAAGGAGAAACTTCCTGACAGGGAGAACAATTAACCAGTGGAACCACCTGCCACCAGAAGCGGCGAATGCGCCGACACTGGAAGTTTTTAAGAAGAGACTGGACAGCCATTTGTCCAAAATGGTATATAGGGTCTCCTGCCTGAGCAGGGGGTTGGACTAGATGACCTCCAAGGTCCCTTCCAACTTTATTATTATTATTATTATTATTATTATTATTATTATTATTATTATTATTACTATTATTATTATTATTAATTATTATTATTATTACTATTATTATTACTATTATTATTAGTTGTTTTGTTGTTGTTGTTGTTATTATTATTATTATTATTATTATTATTATTATTATTATTATTATTATTATTATTATTATTCACCTGGCAGGCTTGGTCCTTCCCTCAAGCTTATTGTGACCCCCCCCAGAGCAAGGGACCCCCAACTCCTTCAAGCATCAGCCAGTGGAGGGATTAGCCCATTCACCTTGGGCTAATAAGCCACCTTCACTTCCGCAACGTGCGATGCTTGGGAATCATGGTTTGTCTCCTAGGGAGGGGGACCCTGATTGCCAAAAAAAAAAACCAACAATCCTAAAGACACAACCGAGGTCTTTTTTTGTGTGTTCATCAAGGCCAGGGCTAGTCAACCTTGGCTCTTGTATGACTCGTGGACTTCAACTCCCAGAATTCCTGAAGCTGAAGTCCACGAGTCATCAAAGAGCCAAGGTTGACTACCCCTGGTCAAGGCCAACGTTTTCCGACCATTTTAAGACAGGTGGGCTTCAACTGGCTGGGGAATTCTGGGAGTTGAAGTCCACGAGTCATAAAAGTCGCCGAGGTTTGATGAACCCATTCATCTCGGTTCAAAGCATGAATAGATGGGGAGGAGGACAAGGAAGGACCTTACCACGCAGGAGGGGAAAATAAAGGGGGGGAGACCCCCTCCTCCCCTCCCCCTCCCCAGCCCCCCCCTTCCTCCTTACCGATCTTGTGATACAATTCTGGAAGCTGGGTCTCCACCTTTTCCCTCTGGAACATGTGATATTCCGCTTGTTCGCACACGGGAGGGATGAGGTTGAACTGACGGGCTACCGAGTAGGCTTCCTACGTCGTGGAGAAGAAAGAGGGGAAAGGAAGAAGAGTTTGGGAGAAAAAAAAGAGAGAGAGAGGAACCAATCTTTACCGACCCCCCCCAAAAAAAAGATTTTACCATAATCTCCATGGCGCTCCAGCGAGAGGTCCCCCAGTACATAGCCATGCCTTGGTTGATGACGTACGTCATGGCTCGGACGATCTCTGGCGGGAAGAAGGAAAATATAAAAGAGATCAGCCCTTAAAGTCCCTTTTCCCTTCGTTTCTTCCTCACGTTTCAAAGACGGGGAGTCTTCCGTACTCAGAAAAAACAGGTTTAGGGAGGAAAAAGGGAGCGAAGGCCAGTGGCTTGATGCAGAACTTCATCTGAACAGAATATCAGAGTTGGAAGGGACCTTGGGAGGTCTTCCAGTCCAGCCCCCTGCTCAGGCAGGAAAACCTACACCATCTCAGACAAGTGACTAGACTAGACTAGAATAATAAAATAGAATAGAATAGAATAGAATAGAATAGAATAGAATAGAATAGAATAGAATAGAATAGAATAGAATAGAATAATAAAATATAGAATAGACTAGAATAATAAAATATAGAATAGAATAGAATAGAATAGAATAATAAAATATAGAATAGAATAGAATAATAAAATATAGACTAGAATAGAATAGAATAGAATAGGAATAGAATAGAAATAATAGCTAGACTAGACTAGACTAGACTAGACTAGACTAGACTAGACTAGAATAGAATA